GTGTTCTCTTGTTTCCTGCACTGCTTTCTTTTATTCATTTTCTGAACTGTTTTCTATTATGACAAATAAAATTTCTTGAAATTATGTTAAGTCAATTATATCACTCCTGTTTTAATTCAAATTTTGCCTGTTTCTTATGGCATGTTCTTTTGGTGGTTTAGGTTTGGGTATGATTATCCTGGTGGATTTGACCGTGACATGGTGGGCAGGCCTGGCTATGCTGATGAAAGGTCTCATGGCCGGTACTTTGGCCGTGGATATCAAGGTTGCGTTCAGATTGCCTTAGTTTTTATGTTTAATAATTGTTTTTCTTGCACTTGGAATAATTCTTAGACCATAGGGTGATGTTTATCCTTCACCATAACAATAATCACAAGCGAAACATGTGAGAGATATGACCTGCAGTTGAGCCTTCCAGGCTACCATTAACTTCAGTATTCTCATAATATGTCTCTCATTCAATTGCTCAGAATTCTTCTTAAGTGAACCAGCCACTGTAAATGTGTACATGGAAGTGCATGCTCAGAGTAGCCTGCCCATTAATTGCATTACTAGTTGTGCTGACCACTGCATCATACTTAATGGAATTCTTTTACTGAGATACCTAGGGAATTGATGCTTCATATAGCCAGTAGCACCAAAAAAGTTCAGCTATCATTCTTTTATGCCTTTTGACTTGAATTTGTTAAGTATTATTGCTTCTGCAGACTGGGATTCAGGCCGTGGTGGATATGGTGATGGTTCCAACACTGGCAGCAATCAAAGGTTAGAATTTGATCTTGTTCTTGGACTCTAGTGCTCTGTCCTGTGGTTTGATCTATTATTTGCTCCCTGCACTCTTGGTGGCATTTCATTTCTTTTCAATTGGTGCAAGTTACCATAGATTTGCCTTTTGCTTTACTGAACTTGCCAAAACTTATACGAATCTCTTTAACAAAATTGAGCAATCGTTTTACTGTTGTTTCAAAGATCTGAGGACATTCTTCTGGATTATTAGAACTGCATTCATCTTACACAATGATATGACATGATGTGTAAATTTTTCAGAGAAGGCTTGATGTCATACAAGCAATTCATTCAGGAGCTTGAAGATGATATACTGCCTGCTGAAGCTGAGAGAAGGTACCTATCATAAGTATTTCAATCATTCTGGTTTATTTATATGTGAGACTTATTTAACAAAAAGAATGTGAAGTAACTTTGGATTTCTGGTGCAGATATCAAGAATACAAGTCAGAGTACATTTCAACCCAAAAACGAGCCTTCTTTGAGGCTCATAAAGAGGCAGATTGGTATTTCTTGTTGTTCGCTAAATTCCTGTCTTTCTGTTCCCTCCAAATATCTAATTCTAACTCTCTTGTGTATGTAGGTTGAAAGATAAATACCACCCAACAAACTTGGTTTCAGTCATAGAAAGGTTAGTTCTACTTTTGTATCTCATAATGGTTCAATCAAATTGGTTTTCCTTTCATGGGTGTTGTTGTTGTTGGGTTTGGTACCCAAACTTAAATAATATTTTCTTGAGCTTTTATTGTCATTTTATTGGATTCTTATATTTCTGTTCTTGTCTCTGGCCATGCATTTCTCAGGAGGAATGAGCATGCACGAAAGGTTGCAAAGGAATTCTTGCTTGATCTTCAAAATGGATCATTGGACTTGTAATATCAGCACTTTGTCTGCTTATTTATGTTTTTATGTTTATACCTGGTCCTGGTTATGCCTTATTTTTCAATAGGTGACCAATGGGTTTCTCTGTAATATCTTCTATGCAGGGGTCCTGGGGTCAATGCCTTGCCCTCTACTAAGTCAGGACAGACTAGTGATCCTAATTCTGAGGATGACACAGAAGTTGGGGGCAAAAGAAGAAGGCATGGTAGGGGGCCTGCTAAAGAAACTGATATTCTTTCAGTTGCTCCTAAGGCTCACCCAGTCAGTTCTGAACCAAGAAGGATACAAATTGATGTTGAACAAGCACAGGCGCTTGTACTCAAATTGGACTCTGAAAAAGGGATTGAGGAAAATATCTTATCGAGCTCTAACAATGACAAGATGAGTAGAGATAAATCTTACGGTGGGTCAACTGGCCCAGTGATTATTGTACGAGGTTTAAACTCTGTGAAAGGCCTGGAGGGTGTAGAGCTTCTGGATACTCTTATAACCTATCTTTGGCGTGTCCATGGCTTGGATTATTATGGAATGATTGAAACAGCTGAAGCTAAGGGTTTTAGGCATGTGCGAGCAGAGGGGAAAGGTTCTGACACAACTAATAATGGAGCTGAATGGGAAAAGAAACTTGACTCTCGATGGCAAGAGAGGCTGAGTGGCCAAGATCCTTTGGAAATAATGACTGCTAAGGAGAAAATAGATGCAACGGCTGTTGAAGCTTTGGATCCGTATGTCCGCAAGATAAGAGATGAAAAGTATGGGTGGAAGTATGGGTGTGGTGCTAAAGGTTGCACGAAGCTCTTTCATGCTGCTGAGTTTGTGCACAAGCATCTCAAACTCAAACACCCAGAGCTTGTCATGGAACTAACCTCTAAAGTGCGTGAAGAGCTCTATTTTCAGAACTACATGAAGTAAGTCAAATAAGCCACTTTTTGTCCTTTTGTGTTGATTTTGGAATGCTTTTGTAACGGAGGCTTCATTGTCATTCACAGTGACCCAGATGCACCTGGTGGGACACCTGTCATGCAGCAACCATTGCAGGTATGATTTCTCATGTTAGTTTAATTAATGGGCCTCATACTGGCTGTACAATTTTATATTATGAATTGGCAGGAGCATGAAATTGAAAGCTACTTTCCTTGCCTTTGTAATGGAAATTAGGTTTTCTTATGCGTCTGTCAAACTAAGTCTTGCTGCATAGAAAGATAGAGTGGTGTTACATGAAGGTGTCAAAGATAAAAGTTAATTTTTGAAAATTTAAGAGTCAAGTGCAATGAAAACAATTACATTAGGGCCATCACTGCACCAATTGTTTGTTCATGCATTGTGGCATGAAAAAATAATTTAAACTAAAAATAAGACTTTCCTGTCTTGATGCAGAAAAGTGAGAAAAAATAGAGAGATTCTTCTTCTCCCCTGTCCTACATTGGCCTTTTCCTGTAAGGAACAAAAGAAATGAAAGGGGAAACTAAGAGCTAACATCTCCCATTAAGCAAGTTAAATAAAGTTTTTCTATATTGCCTTTATCTACATTGTCACTGTTATTTTAGAAATGGGGAATCAAATGCCAACTTTCAATTATGAACATGTCATACTCTGAAGTACAGATAGGTCAGATGTTCCAGGCCTAAATTTGGTTTTACAAGTTGGGTACATGTTTCCTAAGAGATAAGAAGCCCATGTTTAGTTTTCTAACTTTGTCAACTACCAATTTTACATTTGTAATTTCAGTGATGGTTGATTCCCAAAAGTTCTGCAGTTTTAGTTTTGTTCTGTGTTATGATTTTTTCATTTTGCTTTGATTGAATGGTTAATGCTGCATGCCTCCATACTCTGTCTGACTGTTTAATAGTTGCTAGTGGAAGATTTACTGCAGCATTCTTCCAAGTTGAAGCCTCTGTTTCCTTTTGTTTGTCATTGCTTATTCTTGTATTTATGATTTTTCACTTCAGAGGGACAAGCCCTTGAGACGTAGATTAGGTCCAGAAAATCGCTTGAAAGATGAACGTGGCAATCGCAGAGAACGTGATGGTCGAGTTAATGGCAGTGATAGATATGATAGGTCTGACAACCCACAGTCAAGTGATTTTCCATCCAACAGTGATGTTCCTGATGGAACAAATCGTGATGATCCAATGTTTGATGCTTTTGGTGGACAAGGGATGCGTGTTGGGGCCCCATTTTCATCAGATATACCTCCTCCAGTATTGATGCCTGTTCCTGGTGCTGGGTAGGTCAACAGATTACATTTTATATCTTATTTTGCTAACGTTAGTGTATTTTTGGTAGAGAGAGCTCATATGCAGCTATAATTGCAGTCCATTGGGGCCATTTGTTCCAGCTCCTCCAGAAGTTGCTATGCAGATGTTCAGAGAGCGTGGTGGTCCTTTTGAAAGTGGTAGTAGAAGCGGAAGGCCTGGTCCCAATTTAAGTGGGCCAGCACCCTTTATTTTGCCGCCCGGCTTTCGACAGGATCCTCGTCGTTTACGAAGGTATGTTCCATAGAGGAGTTCATAATGTTAAATTTTTGTATTTCTACTTTCAAAAATCATGTTAGTAATGGTGGCTTGTTTTCAACACAGTTATCAAGACCTAGATGCACCAGAAGATGAAGTCACTGTTATCGACTACAGAAGTTTGTAGGCGTTAGAAGTTGATTATGATAGCACTCAAGATGCTTTTTCTATGGAGGGAGTGGCAACTCTTTTACAGGTTCATGGTTAATGCTGTTGTTTTTGGTAATTGAACAACAAAAGCAACTACCTTGTGCTATTCCGTTGAGAGGCGAAATGCTTCCTGGGTGCTCATTAGCTGTGCCTCTTTCTACAGTAACTCTTTCTTCTGTGATGTTGCTGCCAAGTGCGACGTGCTGGAAAACTCTTTTATATTATTTCTGTTGTCCCTCGACTGACTTCAAAGGCAGATGTTTATGAAAATGGGGTGGGATATAGGATGGTTAGCAAATTAAGCGGTATTTGACTTAAAAATGGATTAGGTTTCGGATTGCCTCATTTGTTTTCTATCTTCATAGTGTTAAAAAGTTGAGCATTTTGTACTTTCAATAAGATGAATTGAGACCTTTTTAGATCCTCTTTCACGGTATTGGCTCTGGAATTGGGCTGCGGAATAGATTATTGTGTGTTTACAGTTGCCTTTGCTTCCCTTTTTCTTATAATAATGTTCATGGCATTATGAAATTGCTCGACTCGATCCTTGTCTGAGCTTCACCAAAAGGACTAAAACAATGGAGTAATAATGTTTTCCCATCTTCCTTAATAACAACTGAGCTTGAGGGTTTTGGAAACGTATCCATTCCAGATTTCCAATGTGTAAACCAAGATTGAATATTAAGCTGCAACTCTGGAATTCGTGACAGTTACATTATATGCTACAGGCCAATCTTTTACACATAAGAGAGAAATGGAAGAAGAAATCTACCCAATACAGGCCCCCCAGATATATACTGCGGTTTGTAACCAAAAAAATTTGATGAAACATTGGTTTCCAAACCAAAGGAGAGAGACCAATGCCGATTTCAATGCCTTATTTCCGTTGCTTCTTCATTACAGGCTCTGGTTGTGGCTCAGCCTGTTAATAGCAAAGTTCCATGATGATCATATAACAAGGAGATTGATTAAAGGAATAAGAAAATGAAAAGCAAACTGCTAACTATTAATCTTGAATTAATGATTACTCCTGACCACAAAAGATTTCAATGTAAATGATAAGAATTGCAATTTTTTTCCTCTAATTTAAGTCATTATTTTAAAAAATTATCTTCACTTGGCTGCCCAAAAAAAACAGAAAGGCAAACAAACTTATCCATGCCAAGCTTTTTGAACCAGCAGAATGTTAGTGACTAGACTAGCGGGGATACAGAAAACAAAAATTTGATTTTGTAACACCTTATTTGCATATAATTAATAATTATAGTCACCATAAACTGGATAGTTAGTGGGCTAAAATGAATATGAAGGAAGTAGCCAGTTCAAAGACACTAGAGAATGATGGTTAACATTCCCAACTAGCCTAAACCATTGGCACCTTCTGTTGTTATTAACCCTTAACCACATTTTTTGATGGTCAACTCCATAGTGCTTAACATATACTAGGTAGGAAATGCACTCACAAAGAATACAGAGGAAACACTCATCATAAGGAAATCTTTTGTAGCAATGTGTTAGAGATGATTAGTGTTTGAAGACTGATAGAGAGAAAAATTCTAATGAGGGATCACTTACAACATTTGAAAGCTGCTCTCGGATGTAGGCCATTGATCTCAACATGGCACCTAATGTGTCCCTGGACACCTGAAATTTAACTTCTGACTCTCCCGAAGTTGTCTCTGTATCTTGAAGCTGAATGAAGAACCAAAAAACAACCTCGTGGATAACTCATAAATTGTTGAAAGAGAAAACCACTATTTGCTAAGAGAAAAATTCTTTTGTCCAACAAAATCATCATTTCATAAAAGCCCACATATCATGAGTAAAAAAGAAGCAATTTTCTTACTCTCATAAATCATCAGCCATGACCAATTCTCTTTTCAACCTAAAAAACAGCACTCAAGTGGAGAGCATTCCATTCCAAGCATTTACACTATAGTAATAGCCTCTAGAGAATATCATATGGTCATATTGCAAGACATTGGCCATGATACTGATTTACACACCTTTAAATTGATAACAGCAACTCTGTTGGCTGGGGTTGAAAGCTGTTCACTAATATAGGCCATGGATCTTAGCATTGGTTCTAGGGTAACTCTTGAAAGCTGAAACTTAACCTCCAATTCAGCTGATGGATTCTTGCTATAATCTTGCAACTGCATGGATTGTAAAATATGTATAAGAAAGAGTCGGTAAATCAGAAGCAAATAGGCAACACTTGACAAGAAAATAATATAGCTTCTCATTCCAGTCACCCTAAGTGTTGAGAGCAGCTATTTTATCATGAATGTTAAAGAATAGGACCATTTCCAATTCAACACCTTTCTCCCCACCACACCCCCCCGGCCACCAACACTGCTTTAGTGGGGATCATGACCTCCTAGTCCCTCCTGCCTTTTTTCCCCAAGTCCCAACCATGAAGTTACCTGTATTTAATGTACCCACTGGCTCCAGAATATCATTACAAACATACCTTCAGGTTAATCACAGCAACTCTATTCCCTGCTGTTGAATTCTTATTCTCCATCACCCATGTCATTGACTTCAGGCAAGGAAGAATTGGCTACACAAAAGGACCCAATATAAACACAGTAAATATCCAGCTTTTTCAAATAAGAAACAAGGGTAAATGGCATAAAAGAAATAGATCAAATTCTTCTTTTGAATACCATGTTATCAGGATGGGCATCATCTCGATGAAGGGAAACAGGGGCCATTCGTGGTAGATTCAGATCAGCAACAGACTGAGCAGGGGCACCAGCATCATTAAGATTGAATCGTCGTGTCATTTCATCTTGCCTAGGCCATAGCAAAGGAGCTGTATCTGAAGCTGATGTAGAAGACTTCCTGTCATCATAACCAATGCCACTAACCTGTGAGCCTGGTGGTGCAACTTTAGCAACATTTTTCTTCGTGATAGCAACCTTCTTCCCACCTTCCCTAAGAGCACTCATAGCAACATTATAGGTTTCTGGACCTGTTGCCCCTTCCTCTGCATATTTTATTGCTTCCCGACATATATTGTTATATCGGAATGTAAGGGACTCTTGGGTATGCAATTCACCAACACGTTCATCTGTTCCAACACCAGTCTTTGCATTTCTTGTCCATCGTTTCAAGATGTAATGAGATGGTAGTGTAAGCACATTTGTTACCGTGAAGACTGTCAAAACATGTCTGCAGAGAATGCCTGAATATTCAAACATTTGACAGCTACAGTTTGCTCTCATTTCTGGATAGTTGAATGTAACAATATACGCCTTGTTGTCATCTTCAAACTTTGCAACTCTGAACGTGCTAATAGCTCCATCACCTTCAATTTTATTTGCAGTATAAACAAAGGTTTCGACTAACTCTTCCTGAAATTTTGTAAATATTTTCTTTGTATAAAGACTTGCTGCCTGTTTCTCCATGGGTGACGGTGTACGCAAGACTGGTGTGGTGCAAATGGTATCAAAGTCTGCTTCTATCTCCCTTTCAAACCAATTCTCTATAGCCCTTTCATACTGCCTAAAGAACATAGGTATTGTGGTTTGTTGATTGACATAGCCATCAAAGAAAGAACTATCAAATAGTTGACTAGGGTATACAGCAGCAAAAAAGGAATCACGGAAATAGACTGGAACCCATTGAGCACGGGCATTATATATTGACTGGAGCCAATCATGTCCTCTGAGGTCATACTTATCAAGGATGGAAGTCCATGATGATTCAAATTCCTCAATGGTTTCAGTCAAATTGATGGAATTATACAGTTCCACCTGAAAACTAGGATGGGCTTGACACACATGAGCCAACTTTTCCTGGCCTTCTCTTAGGACATGCCACTTACTTATACAATGGCGGGATTCAGGAAACACCTGAGCAACTGCTGTCTTTATGGCTCTGTCTTGGTCAGTGACCAATGAGACAGGTTGGCGTTCATTCATTGCAGCAAGAAATGTCTTGAAAAGCCAAAGAAAAGAAGCCTCAGAATCATCTAGCAGCAATGCGCAACCAAACAAAATTATCTGACCATGGTGATTCAACCCCGTAAATGGAGCAAAAGGCACCCTGTACTGATTTACTCTGTAACTTGTGTCCAATGTAACCGCATCACCAAAATGCATGTAGGCTGTTCTTGACCTTGCATCAGCCCAAAAAACATTAGCCATGTGATTATCATCATCAAGCTGAATTGCATAAAAGAAACCAGGGTTCTCAGCCTGCATTTTCTTGAAATAATCAAGTAGATTCTGAGCATCTCTCCCTAGTGTTCTCTTTCTATTAACTGGCCTGACTGCATAATTCATGGTCCCAATGTTCTTTACCGCTCGATTTAATTCAGCTGGAGGAGTATTTCTAATGCCACGGTTATTTGTCTCTGCAGCGGCAAGATTCCCATCCATAGATACATACATTACACCACTAGGCACAACTCCCACTCCTTGGAAACTTTCAGCCATCGTCTTTGCAGCACCAGCAAAATGCCTGCGAGGCCGAAGGGAGTGCACCTTACTAGGACTTACCAATGAATGGCTGTGCTCCCTTATAAGCTTTGTGACAACCCATTTATCTTGACTCTTTAACTCTATCCTAAGCATTGCATTACAACTATCAGAAGATCTTCTTTTCAAACCTTCTCTGACACATACAAACTCCCGAGCAATTATTGTCCCAGCAGGTTTTGAGCGGCTAAGCTGACCAACTTTGAAGCTAAATCCCACACGTGTGGCATACTCATTGTAGAAAGTCTTAGCAGCATCCTCAGAGTTCAATTCCATGCCCACATACGGCTCAGCAATCCTATCGTCATCCTGAACCAAAGCATTCTCAGCATTATTTGCGTCACCTTCATTTGGTTCACTATCTCCATCATCAGACATCACACGATGGCTCATCCCCCCTTCTGCATCAATTGCATGTATGTCCATACTGATTCTCTCTTATTAAGTTTCTTTGCACTGTAAGCAAATTATGTTATAGTGCTGTGCATGTTCTCATCCTTATAGAAGCAAAAGTCCTGTGCATTCTCACTTAGTTTACACCAGAATAGGAAATACATGTCACAACCAAATCACTGAAGACTACCCAGAAAAACTTGAACACAATTATAGATATGGTACTTTAGAAAACAGCAACTGATCTAAAAAAGATGGCCGTTTGATTAGAGAAAACACAGATAAAAGCAAAATCTCTGATACATGTCCCAAAATAGAGAGATGTACATTCTAGCATTCCAGATATGGTATTCTAAGTCCTCTCTCACCAACTGCATGGACCTCAAAATAGTAAATACAATACCATATAGAAACCAACATGGAAACTAAAAGAACAGCTGGAACTAGAGCTAAACCTCTTAAAGGGATTAAACTTCACTCTCAAATTCCTTTGAGGCTTTGAATTATACTCCAAAATGACAAACAGATGAAGGGAAAAAAAAAAAACAAACAAAAGGCTTGAAAATGGTATACACGTACACACATGTTCACACTGCATAGAATAGAAAGTCAAGACAGGAATTTAACAAAAGAAAAAGTACAACAGTGTATACCTCACTAAACTCATAAGTCATAACCAAAACAGAAAAGATATCAAATTCAAATTAAAGAGCAGAAACAGATAACTGCTAGGATTGCACGTATAATCGTTAACTAAAGAAAACCCATTACTCAGAATCACCAAAACACCAAAACCCATAGGCAACATATGCAGAAAGATACTAACCGTTAATCAAGCACCCGCATAGACGTCCATGGACACCTTGGGAAGATGCAGAAGGAGGTAGCGCCCTGTGATGTATTCTGGGAAGCACGAAAGTTCAATTCTTTGGGAGAGAATGAGGGTCAAGAAGAGGAATTTGAAGAAAAGGGAGCTGCTTTGGAGTGGGACAGTGAGGTTTGATCGTTTAATTGGTGAAAATTTTTTGAGGAAGTGTGGAACCCTAATTCCTGACTGTTTAAATTTTTTAAATTTACAATGACGTCCCCCGAAGCAGGTGTTAAGCACGCCCCAGAAGCTGAGAGTGAGTCTCCGGGTCCATTGAATTCGGTCCAATGTACCCTTTTTCTTTTTGTTAAGAAGGTAATAGTTAAGATTAGAAGTTACTAGTTAAATTAGTATTTTTCTTATTTATTAACCTCTCAATGTTCGGTAACTACTTTGGGTTCTGATTAATCTGTAATCGAGTCGCGTCAAACCTCATTAGGGGAAGCTCTCCCAGCGCCTGTTTCTCCACCCACAAAACTCTTAAAGGGAACTGAGCTACTTCCACTCGACCCAACAGGTCGTTGGTGTTAAATTAGTATTTTACTCATGGTAAACTTTGGTTATTGGTCATAGGTGTAGTCCGTCGACAGCCCTTTTGGCCACAACAGGAGAATGCGGTCCAATGTAACATTTAAAAACATACTTTTTTTTTTCGTTTATTTTTAATAAATTTTATTTGATTTTTTAATTTCTCAACTATAAATTTTAAATATTAATTATTTAAATAATTCAGTAATTATTTTTTTTATTAAAAATAACAAATCTTGAATTTAAATCATATGATATACGGATAAGATAAAATAAAATATGGGAACTCCGTGTAACTAAGATAAAATATATATATAAATTTTAAATAAAAATTTAATAATATATAAAAATAATAA